TCCTCTAGAATAAGAGAGGGAAAAATAATTAGGGTAGAAAGCAATGTGAATCATAGTTCCAACAGGGATATTCATGTGCTGCACCCTTGATGTAAACAGCTGTTTGTATTTCACCTAATTTCCTCCTTCCATAAAACATAATACAGCCTTATGACTTATCAGGCATTTGTTACTATTCTTATGCATGAGGTTTTTTCCCCCCACAATGGTTCTCTTTTTAGCTACCTGAAACAAAGTAATTATTTAGAATAATTTAATCACTGCATTTTAAATGGAAATCTTCCTTGAGGAAAAGTTTGCTATTTAGGAGTAGAATTTTGCACTTCTATGCAATTCAATTTCTGTTTAATAAATAATGATATAACATTATGTAGAAGCATTATGTAGAGTTTGGCTTTTTTTTCACTGAGTGACCTTAAATCTCAGGAACACTTTTAGAAGAAGGGAAAGTATTGATTTATGACCTTTGACAAATCTGGAGGTCAAATATCCCATGTGAAAAAGGTCCAAAGAAAGCCACTGAGGCTGCACTGCTTCACCTGCACAGGGTACAGAGCAGCCAGTGGTGCCACAGCTGCTCTCAGCCTGTTAAAAAACAATTAACAAATTGCAACTAACAAATCCTATTTAATCATATGCATGTGTTGCAATGTGCTGCATTTCACATTTTGTGCTCACGAGCAATTGGTTTTTTCCTAACATGTAGAAGGATTTTACAAGAAGATACAGGATGTACTTTGTCTCAGATTATTTTACTCCAATCAGCAATCCTTTCTATTATTTCCAAATCTGAGCCACATCTCACAACTCAGAGGTGGTGTTGCAGACAAAAGGTCCAAGTTGTCTTGAAAACAGGGTTCCCTCCCTCCATTGTTTTTCTTTGCAGTAATTCCGTATATAGTGTGAATAATGCTACTTTACACCAAGGGCTCACTTGTAAGGATATCCTCTATCTTCCAATTTGTATGCACATTTGTTTTACACTACCTTAGAGTTAAAACAACTCAATGACATAATAAAGCTAAGTGCACAGAATAATAAACACTACTGAAACCATATTAACTCAGAAAAACATCAAAAAGGGAGAGAACAAAAAGCACTGAAATTAGGTTAAAAAAAAGTTGCAGAATCTCTATGGGATTGCTCTTTCTTTTTTTAAAAAAAGCCTCAAGCACACAGTCACACTGTAACCCACCTGGTTATATTTTACAAATGGGGTCCCAATTCCAGACAACTTTTAATGTTAGGCAGAACTCTGCACCTGTGAAAATGAACAGTAGCACTCTATGACATTAACTAGAATAAAATCAGGCCATGAAAAAGCTTCTGTTTTTTCTATAATGAATAATATCACTGCGTTCTGTTTTGTACTCACACTTCTGTGAGTTGACAGTATGCTTGCATGATTAAGATATAAAGCGAGCAAATGTTTTAATTCAAATATTATTACAAATGACAAAGAAGTCAGATAAAACCAGAGATTTTTTTATTGCACAAAATAAATTATATAGAAACAATGCAACAAAACAACTCGTATTGTAGGCCGCACAACAGATGTTACAACATGAATATATTTATTGCTTTGAGAAAGGAGCAATTCAGTGCTAGTAAGCAGATTAGTTATACTTCTTGCTCATCTAGATTTTTCATAAAATTAATCCAACTGGGCTAGAGGCATCTTGCAGCATACAGGTCAAGCCAAATTGTTGTTTGTTATTATCCATTATAAAGGTGCTGTAAACCCTCTTGACATTAGCATGGATCACCAATTTAACATCACCAGTACTGAGCCATACAGGTAGTTCACTGTTAGAAATATCATTACTTATCTGATACATTTATACACAAGTTCTAGAGGCCCACTCACAGGCTTTGCATGAGCTGTTGTTTCAAAATAAATTTTGCTTACAAATGTGGATGCAGATTTGAACAGGCTTCACTCTACATCAAGAGGCACGACCAAGAGGTTGTTTTGCCAAAAAACCCCAAGAACAGCACTTCCTGTCCCTAAATGGAAAATTGATCACTAGGGCTGACTCAGTTATAAGTGTCTCACTTTTTCTAGGGCCACACTCAGATTCCAGATTAAAAAACTCCTCACATTCCTTTGGTAGAACTGGGTGAAATTTACAGTGCTTTTTAAAGTACTTCAAAACACAACATATTTGGTTCTTCGAAAGATACAAACTTGCAGCACTGGTATTGCACTCAGATCAAATGGATTTTAAACTGCTACTTTGTGGACCCTGAGATGTTTACCCTAATGAATTACTACAGAAATCAGCTCTTAACAAAAATTATAAAAATGGGCAATGTTCATGTAATAAAACATATCAAATCCTGATCAACTACAGATCTTTGCAAAGCATGAACATAAATGAGCGAATGCCATTTCAAATGTTTATAATCTCAGTCAAATTCTCCCCCAGTTTGTCAAGGACACAAGTATTTACTCAGTTGAGTTCCTACCAATGAATTCTACTGCTGGAGTACACATTATTGCAAAACTTACTCATGAGAAGGTTAATATAATAAGAGTAAATTTAAGCAATATTAGTCACCCATGAAAGGAAATTAAGTGAGGAGGTGGGAAGCCTGGCTCATTTCAAGTTTCAGCTACAAGGATAATTATGGAAAGTCACTCCACTGAGGTCAAGCTGGAGAACTTAACTGAGCATCAGGCCCAAGAAGTAGATCTCTGTAGAATCCCACTGAAATAAGTAAAGAGATTTTGGATTGTACACTAATATGTACACAAACAAATATGGTTGCCACTCTTTACTATACTTTAATAGAATTATTTACGTATTTTTTCTTCCCTGAAACTGTGTGAATGCATTATGATGAAACAAAACACAGTTGAAAGTGAGGTTTCAATTAGCTGCAAAATATTATCAGAAGTAAATTATTCTGAATTTTAAAAAATAGTATTAGCCCAAATTCTCAGAATCTTTAGTGATGCCCTCACATTCCATGCATGTACCCAGCAGCAGTTTCCTTTGAAGGAAGGTAAGTATTAAACTTGACTAATCTTGCACACTTTTTCATCGAGGGGACTCTTTATTAAACACTGTATGTAAAATTCTGTCATCTTCTAAAAAATGTTAGTAACATAGTAAGATTCAACTAAACAGCCAGATATACCCTGAAATGTCCATTGAAACACATGCAGCACAAAAAATGATTAGCATTTTTTATACTTATTATGAAGTAGAAAAGTTATAAGGCAGGATGAAGCTAATATCAAAGATGAAAAACAGCACCACAAGCCTGTGTTTTGCAATTGCTTTCTGGTTGGACACAATGTATTATCATAGTCAGATACAACTGATTAATGTGAGAAATGCATTTAGCCCAGCTGTACTAACTATACAGCTTCACACAGAATAAACATTCCATAAATCAAAAGAAATTGCATTTGAGCACAAAAAATAAAAAATAAGTAAGTGATTTTCTAAGCAGCATTTTGTTTTCTTCTTTTTTTTCCAAAACATTAACATAGATAGATATTGGACTGATTAAATATCTACAAGTGCTTTTCCTTTACAAAAATACATATATTCGTAAGAGTAGGATAGACTGTCATTAACAATGACCTGTGTTTTTTTCACTTCAATTTGAATGATTTATAAGCTAAATTTTACAACCACAAAAAGGTTTATTTGTAATAGGATGTTATCACTTTTGACAAAAAGCTTAAAACATTTCATATTTTAAAACAAATTAGCAACGTAAGATCACAATATGTTCTATGAGCTCCTAAGTACTGTGAGGGCTGCTTTATTAAAAACTGGTAACTACTGATCAAATGCAAGGAAGCATTAGAACATTACTACTGCTCACCATAGGCTCCTTTCTTTTTACTTGGATCACAGCTTATATAAGGACACTTAGGCCCCCACCCCCAAAAAATCCATTGAGAGTAACTCTATATCATCTATTCAGTAGCCTGGAACATCCAACAATTCAGGCTTTGCATTAATTTAAAAAAATGCAAAATACTTTCCTTTCGATAGTTAAGTCTGCAATAAGGGAAAAAATGATGCATTTCTTCATGTTTGTGCTAAGAAGCTTCTATTTGAGAAAAAAATATGATCAGTAAGTATTAGAATGAAATCTTTCAGCCAGCTAAATAATTATATTGACCTATTACTTTCCAGTTTAGTTAGCCACTATCCTGGAAAGGGAAATCGAGATAATTTGGATTTTTTTATTCTCTCTGTTTTATACTTCACAAGTAAAATAATCACTTCTTACTAATCAATGGTCTCACATCAAGGACAGCAATGCCATTTGCTAAAAAAATAGCTATAAAAATCTGTAAAACATACTTAATATCTTCTCATTATCCTCCAAATCAGTCCTTTCCACCCTCCAAAATATCACTGAACTACAACTAGAAACCCCAAAAGTAGCTTGGTGACTATTTTGTGCTTTGGAAGGTTTACAGGATTGACAGCACACTGAGTTTTTTGTTAGTTCACAGGCCAGGTATAGCAGACACATCAGTAAATGCAAGCCTTTGTGCTTTTCCTCAGGAGCATGAGCTGGGAGTCAGAGCTACTCTATGTCTGTTGACTAAACCTCAATGCTATTCCTGTTGTTTCTTTCATTTCTAATTTGTTTTGGAAACTGCTAGGTGTGCCTAACCCTTCAGCTTGGTGACACAGACAACTGCCACTGGTTCAGCTCTGCTTGACTGACTCCAGGTACCTCTTGACCATTTAGGCACTCCAGGAAAGTGTCAATGTCATATTCCAAGTTCATTTCTGGGTGGCATTACCTTTGGTATTAAATAGGTCCCTTAAAACTATCAGGCAATCAGATTATCCATAAAAATAGTTTATTTTTAAAAAACCCTAGTTTTTAAGAACAAACTAAGTATCTGACAACAAAGACTAATTTTAAATCAATAAGTGTGTGATATTTTTTCAGTAAAAATGGAGCATGTTTCATTTTACCACAACAAAATTCAGGAGAAGGTTGAACAAGACCAACAAGAACAATATCTACCATACTCAATATAATACAAAACTGAATTTTAAGAGTAGAATACCATTATAAAATATGTGCCTTGCACTTTGACAATAACCATCTTCATTACAACTTCACTTGTAATAAAACCCTCAGTATGTTAACTAGCAGCAAAACCATTTTACTGTGCAGCTATTTTGTATAACCTTCTCTCAACTCTTTGCTTTACACTGACTGTCATAAGGAAAAAGGAAAATGCACAGTAGCTACTTCTGTTCACCTCATCCTGTCAACTGTCAGCCGTGTTAGAAGCATGTCCTAAAAATACATGTACAAGTTACTTCAAAGAAGAGGACCTAATGGTTCAGAAAAGCAAACAAAGTCAAACCAATGCCTATCTTTGGTTAAAATGAATGTAACAGCAAAATCTACTGCTCTACAGACAGCTCTCATTCCAGAATTTCTCCTCCATCCTGAGCTTACCAAACTTTGTCTCCTTCTGCAAATACAAAAGATAGCCTGGACATTTCTACCCCTGTACAGAGCTCCTCTGCTTCACTGCCCCACTCCAGGACCACAGAGACCTAAGTTAAAGAAAAAGCTACCCAAATGCAAAAGATTTATGGCACATACCTTGGATAGAAGGATCTTTTGGGCATTAATTAATTAATTTCCTATTCTGCAAACTAAGGTTTTAATCTGACCTACAGGAAGTGCAGACAGAAGGTAGAAAAGATCAATAGGTACATCTCCTTATGAAAAAAAAAAATTAAATATTGCAAGATCATCTTTTGAAGGACATTCCTGCAAGGGATGTTTCAGCTGAGGTCTGAAGGTCAGAAAACCCCTATGTGACAAAATTAGAGGTAAATGTGCAGTTGGAAGTTTTCACATTTCCTTCAGGTGAATCAATCCCCTCATGTTTTGGAACTCATCCTGGAACACACTCCAGTAGGCTACAATCCCTCCTCAAAGAAGTGTTTTTAGCTGAAACCTGTATAGAAGCATAACCTTGCTCAAACTGACTGTGAAGGACTGAAAATGCAGAGCTGTGAAAACTGCTGAAATCCATGAGAGCTGTCTGATAAATGCAACCTGTGAGCTGACACCTCATGTGCAATTTCACCTTTATAAGTCCTTAATGTTTTGACTTTTGGGTAGGAAATGGGATGCAGTATGGGAATGGCCAAAAGATGTCTAAGAACGTAGAATTAATGACTGGAGAGAGGGTGCCTGTTTAGGCATTTTAACTGAGAAAAATAAGAAGTCAACAGAGCCTGAAGTAAAATGAGAAAGGAATATGCAGCATGATATATGCATTTTTAGAGGAAGCTAAGAGATGCTTTCAATCCGCCAGATTAAGAGAAGTAACTGGACCAAACTCTTGGATAAGGATGTAAGTCTTAATTGCCTTTGCACTTTTCCAGAACAAAAATGAGTTTGATCAGTGAATCAAGAATAATTTTTTTCTGGTCAGTGAATAAATACCTCTTGTCTGCAGTTATATGAAAAAGTAAAAAACCAACAAACAATTCAACTCAGTGATTAGTTCAATTAAAGGACTAAGCCATGGCCTATTTTTTTTAAACAGCAGGGAAGAAAAAATTGTTTACTTCTCTCACTAAGTCATGAACACCAGTTATTCATGGGAGAGATGAGATGGAACTCTGGACCATTATTTTGTCTGCAGTAAGAGCCTAGCTTATATCTAAATGGAATGGGATGGGATCAGTCTCTTTTCTCCTGCAGGCACACTAGAACTGTTTATGATAAGAGCAGAAAAGTCAAGTCAAGCTGCTGAAACCTATGGAGACAAAAAGACGAAGATCCAGAATTAAAGGGTTCCTCATGCAGAAAATGGAATATTTTCAACATAAAAGTACTTATTTTAATATAATTTCTACTGAGAAAGGCTGGTTTTAACTTAAATTATCTAAAAGAACACATTTCTTTTTATCCTCTTTTCCCATGAAAGCTTCTCAATAGAGTATGCTTATGATATATTCCTGCTGAAAATATTAAGACCATAGATAAAATTCAGAAGCAAATATTACCCTGTCAAATGAAAATAATGGGCTTAAAAGGTATTCTCTATTAGTAATCAGGCACTTCTCTTTGTGTAACATTTTCAGTAAAGTCAAGATAATACTTGTGTAACTTTTTTTTGTATAACTGCAAGCTGGCTGAGTATGCACAATATACTTCTTGCACTGCAGACTCCTAGGACCCAAATCCCCAAAGCTTTCATGTGAACAATACCAACTATAGTAATGAGTCACTTCAGTTATTGCAGCAATCTTATCTGGTATTTCATGAAAAAATTCCTTCACAGGACTAGGCCCTTAGCTACCAGGAATGTAGTAATGCATCATCGAAGATACATTTCTTGATTAATAATCTAATTCCATATTGTTTGAGATATTACAGATCTTGTTTCTAAATTCTAGCTGATGGCTTGTTACTTGATAAATGCAGCAACCAGCTATGCTCAAAAAAAAGTTGTTTATGATTTTCATTAATGAGCTTTTCACTTCTAGGGGAAAAAATCCAAGCAGCACCAAATGTACTAAATAAGGGACAGCAAGGTTAGGTAGTAGTGCAGAATTTTTTAGGTCCATCTGCAGTTAGATACTGCTAATATGGAAAAGTCATAGAAACACAGTGGCAGCAACACTTATTTTATATTCCTATGTTTTACAAGGATGCAGTGGTGACACTTTGTCATGGAAATGCTCAGAATGTGTGACTTTATCCAGGCATCAGTTCTAGCATGGCATATGGTGCAGTCTGAAGGGAATGCCTAGGTACTCATTTCACTTTACCCCATCTTTGGCACACAGGAATCTGCACATGCATTCTCATATTCCTATGGTGCTCAGATACTCTTAATTGGCACAAATAAATAAATCTGTGTATCTGTAGAGACATGGCACATATGTACTATATGAGTGAAAATTTCCTGTAAAGAAGGCAGTGCCTGTGTTGAACAAGCTGCCCACTTAAGATATGTATTTCACTGGCACTTTACTTTTAAAAAAATGATTAAACTATAGCAGCACTCAGGCACCATGCCATCAAACCAGAAATGCAGAAAGCGTAGGTGGTTAGTTCATGCATTTAATGCCGCCATTCGCAGCTGGGAACGTCGGTTCAGATCTGTCAGTATTTTCCATGCTCAAAATGAAGATTTGCCTTCTGTAATCCAGCTTTAACTTGCATCAAGAAAATACCAGGAATGGAAACCAATGTCCATCTCTGATTGAGAAAATTCATGATTCTCTGAATTATGAATATAGGAAGTTATCAAACAGTCGAAAAAGCTTCTATTAGTTGCCATTCCACCGCCAAAGTAAAATAGTGCTATTCCAAGGGTGCTGTTAGGTGGATGGATTAAAACTTGTATGTTCCTGTCTTTTTACAACAAGTCTGTTCAAATTTTTTCAAAACAGCAAACACAATTGTTGACAAAAAAATTGTGCTGCGAACCAAGCAGAAATTATGCTTAAGCATCCTAGCATTAGTTTTGGGAAACTGAAACAGGTGTTTTATGTCAAGCAAATTTACAGTGAAAATTCTGGTATAAAAACACATGAAATATATAAAAATTGTAAGGTGTAATTGGTATGTGCATGTAAATATTTACAAATCATATCCTATTTCTACTGTACAAAACAACTGTATATATTAAAGAGAAGAATGATTTTCAATCAGAAAGCATGCTCTGCTCTTCCAAGCTGCTCCATGAGGTGGACTTCTTTATACAAGAAGAATCTATTTTTCCCTAGAGACTCTGCAGAGAAGGTCCCTCCCTACAAGGAGCATCTTCTTTCTGTCAGGTAGTGCATCACAGGCTGGGTGGGCAGCAGGATGTCTGCTCCCTGCAGCCAGCACGCCCCCCCTGCCTGTTTCTGGGCAAAGCAGGGCCTGTGCTGGCCAGCACACTGCAGAAAGGGGCAGCAGCTTCTTCCTAAACATCTTCCTTCCCCAGTTCCACTGGCATTCCACAATATGTGCAACCTTGACCTGTAATGGCAGGGCTCCTTAGCAGACTGCTATTGACAGCATCTTGATTTCTGCATGTCATATGGGCTTTGGAGTGCAGTGGTAGGATTCAACCCAAGTTCATGGGATTCCTCAAGTCACCAATGTTAGAATGCTTAACAACGTTAAAGGGGCCAGACCTAATCCGCAACCTGCTTATTTCTCCTACAGAACATACTACTGTACATGAACATAAACTTACAAAGCCTTACATCTATCTTTTGTATTTGATCCCAAGAAAGATTTTTCACTTTGTCTATCTAAGAATGATCAGTTCACTCTACAGTAGCTTGTGAAAAATTGATTTGGTTCCTTTTTGCTGTATGCAAAAGGCATAAGGAAAGTAAATAGCTATCTACAACACTAGCAGGCATGTACTAAGTAGAAATTGCATAACATGACTGAACTATAAGTATCTCCAGAGAATCTGATCAGAAAAAATCAACTGACTTTTAAGCAAAGACAACAGAAGACAGAAAACATAAACATTGCTATGCTCCCTGCAACATTACAAAAAACCCCAAGGAACATCCCATACTAGAACCAATATGCTTGTAATACCTAAGGCAACAATCACTTTTTATCCAGCACAACCAGGTCTTAGGAAAAAAAGATGACCTGAAGAATTATTTTGGTCAGACTGCTAATCTTCAGTATTGCATTACCTCTAATTTTATGGAAATAGTTTTATGATGTGACTTAACTAATGAAAATTTCTGTAATGAATTCTAAACTCCAGATAGTCACAAGAGATACAGTAATGTCATTAAAGCTATATATTTTTTGTCTTAGTATATTATAGACCTCTATTCAATCTTAAAAGAAAATATTTATTATGAAAAGTAGTAATTATGAAAAATTTTGCCTTGGCCATAATTTTGTAGAGGAATTTAGTTGTTCCATAGACATCTGTATTATTTTACCTTCATTTTATGGAGGTTTTATTAGAAGAAATGTAATCTGACCAGAAGCCATTTTTCCAAAAATAGCTAGTATCCCAAATTCCAAACTTCAGGGAAACCATGGAAAGTGCAATCACAAAGGCTACAATGCTTTCAAGCAATATTAGCAATTTTAAGATTTAAAATTAGTATTTTGAATTACCATGTTCTACACCTCTTGTTCAGTGTAATTAATCTTCATTCACTGCAAAAGGACTGTTGCACACTCATGAGTGAGCTATACCTGGACCCATGAGAACCTTATCAAGGAAAAGGTAGTGGCCTAATCACCACTTTTCTAAATATATTTTCTGTACAAAATATTGTCAAGGTATAATCCTTAGTTATTTTTACAGTACTCTATGATTTAAATGATTTAAACAACAATATTCAGTAAAGTAGCAAGTGTATGAAACTGCAACACCACATGAATGAGCACTCTGCCATTTTGCTAGTGTAATCAATAGTAGGACCAGAAAGTTTTCTAACACGCAAGCAAAAATATTCCATAGGTTTTGAGTCTTGACTGTACACTTCATGATTTTGGCTATGATTTGCAGCACACTCTTAAGATACACAAATATCTTATGCACATTTCAGTAGCAGAATGGCACTTGGCTTGCTCTAATAGAAACAACAGAGATGCAACTGACAATTTTAAGAAAGACAATGTCCTTATTTGCATGCTGAAATTCTGGCTGTGTCCCCCCAATCCAGGCACATCCATTCATTGTGCAATCTGTCGATGGGTAAACAAATAGTGCAGGATTCATCTCAGTGGGATCTGGCCCTTTGGTCTAACCGAAGTCAATTCTAGGTCGATACTGAAGTACCATAGGGTAAGACTGAAAACAAGCAAGGGAAAAACAACAACAAAAACAGACAAGAAAGCATGAAGACATGATTCATAAACAATACAAAGAAAATGCAATTAAAGACTACCTTAAGAATAGCTAAATCTTATCTCTAAGACAGAGGTATATGACAATGTTAAATTCATCTCTGTACTTCAAATCTATTAGCTATTTGTCACTGATATACAGTTTCGGTATCTGCTTTTATATATTTCAATATTTATGTTTTATTATATTTATACTTGGGAGTGCTCAAACAAGTCTGTTTTCTGTGTTGCTGTGTTTGATAAAAAGCAATCTTGACAGTTTATACTTTCTAAACCAAAGTATATTTACAGGTGATGTACTTGGAAATTTATATACAGAGGTTCCATAGCTACACTATAAAAAAAGGTCAAATTGCTGTCAGCTGGTTTTCTGAGAGATGACCTTCTCCCCAGATCCAAACTCCTTAACCTCAGATCTAGTGATAAGTTTTTATTGATTCCTACTGAAAAAAAAACCAACAAAGCAAACAAAAAAAAGGCAAATCAACTTCTTGAGTCCCTAAATTGGATAGAACTTGTGGAATGGCAGGGAAGAATGGATGGGTTTCCCAAAAGGGCTGTAGAATATCTGGGCACTTGTTGCTCAAGCCTCTTATTTTTCCATCTGTCAGCATTTCATTTGTCTCAAGTCTTCTTCTTCATTAGCATACTGGATATTTTCTATAGCATAAAACCCTGGCAAATCTCATTGTCTCAGCAGCTGTATGGCCTTAAATACCTCCCCACCATACAACAGAGGCAAAGCTAATATAAGTTTTTCTAAATTCCAAATTTGGAAATACAAAGAATCATTACAGAAGCTATCATTAAAACCAGAAACATTTTGCTTCATTCTTCAAATGCAACAGAGATGAAGAAACAAAGATATAGCCCCAGAGACCTACAGGGTTAATAAACTTTCCATGCCATGATAGTAAAATATCACCAGAACTAAATGTGATAACACTTGCAGGGGATTTACAAACTGGAGTTCAGAGAAATCACAAGGTAAACTCAGAGGTATTAACAGTACCAGGAGTATTTAGGAGAGAAGACAGGAAGCATCACACGTAGTCTGCATGTGCAATTAACAAAAATGTATCTGTGGTATCACAAATTACTTGGTCTCTGATTAATTTTTTCTTTGCACAGGACATGAACACTATTTCATTTAAATACTGTTTCACATTTTGACTTTGAGTATATAAATTGTCTCTAAACGTGTGCAGATCTAATTGGAAGTGCACACAGGCAGAGACAGAGCAATCACCACACTGAAATTGCCAAGTAAACCAGTGAGGCTCGGTGTTTTAGCAAACAAAATCACAAAACTGTACAAATCAAATGCACTATGCTGGGACAATTCTAATTATTGAAGGAAGCATGAATGCAGTAGTTCACTTCCACCACTAGTGAGGAGTGACCCTCTACCACTAGCTCTAATTTTTCCTCAAGACAAAAATAGTATTTCAAAGTTGCAAAATAACTTTTAGAAATAAGTTCAAATCAAAATTCTCAATGAGGAAACTGAAATATTGTTTCAAGGAAGCAGATTGGTCACTGAAATTTAGAAATCAGCTTCAGTTTGCAGGTTCTGGAGGTTTTGCTTCTAGAGATTATTCATTTTCTAATTTTAAAAATATGAAAAGGAGTTTAGAAAAACCTAACATTTTTTTACTCCATCAAAAAAGACATATGAATTCCCACAAAGAGATGAAACCAGTGTAGTCTCTTAATTCACACTCTTAATTTTTGATCCCTTGCCAGTGACTGCCCAATACCGCTTAGTTAGAGCAATGAGATAGCAAGAGGTAGATAATCCTTTGAGGCTGATAGGCCTACCAACCTATAGAACAGTATCTTTCAAAAAAAATCACAAACAAAAACTGGCCTATGGCACAGAAGACAAACTCCTAAATCCTTTGAATAAAGTTTGTGCTGCAGGAATGAAAATGCTCAGACCTTGCTCACAGAGTTTTAGCACTTTATAGTGAGGAATTATAAAAGCTCCACAAGCTGAACTACAATGGAGTGCTGACAGGACCTGGGTGACTGCAGTATGCACAGTTGTGAGTGCCTCTTACCTGATACAAAGTGCCATCCTGTGAGCAGACTTGCGAAGATGAGCAGTTCTGACACCGAAACTGCGGAGGAGATGATTTTCTGATCAGATAAGAGGCATCCACAGCTGGACATACACATTTACCATTTATTGTTTTTTTAAAAAAAGTTTAAATGTAAAGGTTACAATCAATTTACTCATTTTAAAACGGGAAGGAATTGTTTAATGAATAAATGGATATTTTTCCCTTTTCTTGTCTATCTTATGTAAGGTCCACAGCTATGCAGTAAAAGCTCAGAGATGAAGATAATGGATTCACTTGATCTTCATTCAGAAGGATATTGTTAATTAATTACCATTGCAACTTCATTGATGAGAACAAAATCATAGAAGTCTAGATATTACTGGATTTATTACCAGCAAAATTAAATTTTTTAGAGGTGTTAATCATCTTTGACTTCAGGGGAGTGATTTAAAGCTACATGAAAGAGAAGATGAACACATACCTGGCTATGCTGTATGTATATAAATACGCTTACAAACTTAAGCAGGAGTTGTGAACTCTAGCATTCACTAAATGTTAAAAACTATAATTCTGAGATTTTTGAAAATTTTTAGTGCAAATTTTTTTTAGCAAGATTATAGTTACTGTTGTCTCTGATTTCATGCAGTAGGCAAGGGCTGCAGGATGAAATGCCATGAAAAAATCCCATTATCATTGAAATTGTTGCCTCAACACTTCCTAATAGGACAGTCAATGCTAACAAAAATACAACATGGCAAACCAAACAGACATCCACTGGTTTCAAGGCAGTATTGGAAAAAACTCTAATTAAAGCTCTCTTGGGGGTTTCAGCAATCACCAAATTTCAGTGCAATATTACTTTCAAATTTATCAAATACTTGCCTATATACAATGATCTCCCTAATTCCTATCAAAATCTATCCTTCCCCCTCCAGCTTCAGATTAAGTTAAAACTTTAGGAAACTTGTGAATTGTTAACTTTACAATGTGTTAATTCTCCGTGTTTTCTGTCCATGCCCCAGCACTTATTATTCTAAGCACTAGGAAGCTTTAAACAAAAAAAGAATAGAAGAAGTTTGGAATTTTCTCCAGATCAGTACATTAAGGTACATTAAATGCTTAACCTTAGCTGCACTCCAATTTAGCCTCCACTAGTAATGACAGACAAACTTGCATGTGCTACAAAGACCAATCAACAGGCACACACAAACAAATGCATAAAAGAAAGAGAAGAAAAGGGGATATGACTTCTAATAAAAAATATACAAGGCAATACAAAACCAAACTGACTATAATTTCTGAAAAAAAAGTCTTTTAAAAAAGTTAAATACTGCAATTCTAATTTATACACATGCAGCAAGGAAAACCCATCTGGCTGTTATCTGAATGTTATTGTTATATAGCATATCCAAAAAGAATAGATGCAGTATTAACAGAAACATTAACAGAAACAATTAGATTTCACTAGTAATTTTTTCAGCGTCACTTTCAGTTTATTGACTGAACAAAACAGGTTCTTACTGAAGAACTGTTGGATGCAGATTCCCCAACTATTATAACTCAAAAAGTCACCAAAAACAAATTTGCTCAAGAACAAGGGCTTGGTTTTCCACTTACTTGACTTAAAACTCTGAGCAGAACTTACATGTACGCATCATACATCCACTATTCTGAACCTTCAGAATCTACACAATATATGTGCTGAAGGGTTTCACCCATAGGGTTTTACATAAGAAATTCAGAAAACATGCAGAAGGCATTTTTAAATAGGGGTTTTTTGAAGGGTCATTGATTATATTTGGGCCTAAGATGTGAAAGAATGTATAGGGTCTATAATAAATACACCAAAACATCATTTATCAATAATGTAACAGCATTTACGTTTTCGCCTCTTAGTCTCCATCTTGTCATATAGATGAATTCCATAGTGTGATCCTTCCCCATGATTTCTCCGTTGCATAGTACATCCAGCTTAAAATACAACAGAACAAACAGTAAGACAAAGGAATGCAGAAATTTAATGTCTAAAGGAACTGCTAAGTGAATCTCCAGAGTTAATCCTTCCACTCCTATCATTATATAATGATACCATCAGACATGTATATCAAAGCTGGATGAAGACAGCATGCTGACAATATGGTTTTTTGTACCCTGGTATTCACTTTTGTGTTTTCATTTGAAGTGTGGACAGAAGGAAGGCTGCTACCGAGGTATGAAATCACCAGTAGACAAACATTCCCTATATTTAGCTACACTACACAGTATCCATTTGAAGAGAAAGCCTTGTGCAGCATTTTGAAGGCCACCTTGCTATGCCAGTACTCTTTCAAACCCAAAGATATAAACCAGAAGTATAGTAATTTTAATTTTAAAAATAGATTGCAAAGAAACTTTAAAAAATTAGTTTAAAAATAACTAAGAAATTATAAGGAAAATGCGCTTCAAAGTACACAGACATTCCTTAACTGAAAGCAAAATACAGAGAAAAGCAATGATCTCAGCATGAAAAATGCCTACTTTAAACTGTATTATAGCATCTTACTGCTGCCTGCCACTGCAAATGTTTGACAGTATTTTCATTACTAGACCTATAATATTTTCTGTGTTTCAGAAAAAAAAAAAAGGCAAAATTTCGAAGTAAGCAGATTCTTTGTAACACAAGCCATTAAGGACAGATTGAAAACCAAATGACACCAAAAAGGCTGATCAGCATGTCATGACACTGTGACAAACTCCTGTGCATAGTTATAACCTGTGCACCAAACCTAACTCTGCCCTACTCCTGACCAAAGCTGGGAGGCCTGCTGCTGGTGCTAAAGACAGCCTGCCCTGCATGGAGCCTTTGGCTCCTGTACAAGAACAGGCTGAAGAAATAGTCTGTGCTTCAGTCTAAATTCCTGTATCCCTGGAAAGAGGGAAAGCGGGTTCAAACACAATTAAATTTCACAGAAATATATTATGTTGCAGGGAAATAAAAATAAAAACAAAAACATCTTTTTTTCAAATGTACCTCATAGGAACTTGGAAGTTTTAATTTTAAGCTGAGAAACTTTTTGATAGTTCCCACGGTCACTCGAGTAGAACAGCGGATAAATTTCTTCATTAAGCCCTAAAGCAACAGCAACAAATCAGAAAAAACATGTTAGAGGTGTAAAAATTTAAAAAACATGTGAGCAATCTTTAGTGCAGGAGCACTAATCAGTAACCAATTCTCTTCTAATTCATAATGACACCATAGGTTCATTTTTGTTCACCTGTTTTCAAAATTTAAAAGATGACAAACAACTTCATTTGACCCATCTCTGGTTCTTAAGATATTTCTAAAAGATACAGAAGGGAGGAAAGATAAAAACCAAAGCCCAGCTACCACCAAACCCATCAAAACCCCCAGAAGAACTTAAATAATCAGTGTGTTTGTGTTAGTAACACTGAGGGTCAAAGAAATGCATTTCTTAGAATTGTTAAGATCCTCCAAAGTTATACATGTAACATAATACTTAGAAAATACAAGTAGCTTTATTAGAAAAGTTCTTAAATATATTTTTCACTTTATTCACCTATTTGTAATTTAATAAAACATTGTAAAAATCTAAGGTGATTTCTAAAAACTTTCTTGTAGACTAAGTATGCTAGGTAATCCCCTTCAGGAATAGAAACCAAATATCCCTAATTCTTAAAACACCAATTGGCAGGTATTACTCCACACATTTTGCAGACTGAAGTGATCTCCCCATGGCCACAGACAACACATCAGGGTCAGAATCAGGTTTACAGCTCAGAAGATCTGGACCCCAGTCATTCAGGGCACCACATATTTGATAAGCAGGTTCATTCTGGCACGTTAAGACAGTAATCCTCAAGGTACGAGGCAGCTCACCTTCAGCTAGCTTTATAAATACCTCTGTGGTGGGCTGTAATCTGTTGTGTAGTGCAGTTATATACCATAAAGGCTGTAGACTACAAAACTGTAATCCACACACAAACAAAAATTCCACTGTCACAGATAGCTTTCTGTATAGAACTGTATTTTTCATAAAATTCCAAAGATACACTGAAATGCCTCAAAGGAAAGGACTAAATAAGTGTGAAGTGGGAACAGGTCACTAAAATCAGGTTTATTTTCAATGGTTATGAAGTGATTTGGTTCCTATAAGATGCTATTTTGTCATCAATAAGTACAGCACAGCTTGTTTGCTACTCACTTTGACAACATTATCTCCCGACTGCCCATTGTTGCGCAAACAGTCGAGGCAGATTGCAATCTGTGGGTCACTCCTGTGATAGTCTTTGTCTTCTTCATTCTCATCACACTCCTCATCTACTTTGGGTTTATCAGCTTTTGGGCTTTCATCTGTAAAATATGAAGATCGTATTATTTAAGTATAAAATAATTAAGAATCATATTTATAAGGAAATAAGGCATTTTTATGAGCCATAATTTTTCTACACATTAACTTCACACAGTTTTAACTCAGTGCATTCTTAAACTGACCAACTTAAACATCTCTGGAAACAAATTTTCATGGCTGAAATTTTAATGCAATATGCAAACAACAGATTTCTAGGGAACAGAAAATAATTAGTTGATGGACTATATTGGGTATGGCTGTCTACTTCTGATATAATTAATAATTTAATTATATATATAATATATATAATTATCATTAAATATATTATATATATATTATAATTTAATTCAATAATTAAAACCCTGCAACTCTGCATGCATCACAATCACTCAGACATGTAAGCCTACTGTATAGTGGGGCAGTTCAGTGACAAAAAGAATGTTTTTAAATAAAAAATAGAATTACTAATACCAACACTTATATATCGAAGTAACACAGCCAATCAACTCATATTAACTGTCACAATAATCCAGTGAAGACAAGTGCCTGTAATGCAATCACAAGGCAAACTAAACTTTCGACTTCATCCACTTTTGACCAGATCTAAATAGGTCACTGTAAGAACTCCAGAAGGATTTTACAACTAAATAGCCATATATTTACTTACTCCCCTTTAAAAAGAAAAAATTATAAGAAAAGAGGAAAGGTCTGTGTATTTTTTAGCAGAGCTTATACAAACTACATAATCGCAAAGAAAATTTTATCCTCTTTCACAATGCTGTTAACATGTTCTATTGGTTCCTGGTTAAAATTCTAACTCCTTGGAAAAGTACCATCTTGTATGGTTTAGAAAGGTTTAGCAAAGTTGAGCACTCAAATACTAAGACTGGCAAGTACATTTAGATAAGGCTGCAATGTATGTAAATAATAACCATTAAATGCAGTAAGGTTTACAGATTTAGTGTACAGTATATAATAATCTTATTGTACACATTTAGCTTTCTTTTCTGTATCCCCAAATTACTTATTTTGATTTAAAACAAAGGCTGCTCTCTATTGGAATAAAACATGATCACAATTAACTTGAATAAGCTGCTTTCATGTTTTTTAAAAAAACTTTCAGATCAAGTTCTGCTAGTTTCCTACACTTACCAGATTCTAAAGGAATTTAGAAGAGTTCAGATGAAAAAATGGAATGTAAACTTTAATAAACACCAAGCCATGACCAAGTTTCTTGACAGAGTAATTAGTTGCCTTTGTTCCATTTCCATATTCAAGATGAGTTTTAAGCTATGTTCATTACTTTTCTCTCTTAGAATTTTTAAGCTTTCACTAATCATGCAAGATTTATCCCCAAGTCCCTATTAGCTATTGACACGTTTAGTTATTTTATTCCTATCATCTTCCATGAGCAGAATTTACAGTATAAAACTGCAGATTTTTTTTCTTTTTTTCTGAAAGTCCAGGAAGCAAACTTTATCAATTGAGCAGGTGCAGTCTACCTGTCACAAGCATTTGTTCACTTCAGGCTGGACAGTACCACTGAATATTTTCTCTCTGTACCATAGTATTTTATCATTCATCAATTCTTTCTGGCAACCACTCTCCTACAGGAGTCACCAATGGCTGAGATCTGCTTTATTGTTTGGGTTTTTTCCTTCTGATATGTGAAAATTTTAAGTCCTGGGATTTTTTAACAGCTCTTAGATGCTTAGGTTAGTAACTGTGCTGCAACCTGTGGCACAGGACATTAACTGACAGACTCTTAAACTACAGTGGCAATCTGATTGCAGGGCATGGTATTGACAACTGAAACAGTCTCTTCTAAACGAAATTATTCTCAGCAAATAATTTCTTCCCAGGCAAGATTCTAAATGCTTGTTTGTGGCAGAAAATAGCTTAAGTGCTCATAATTTGTATCAATGAGTTGTAATGACTTTCAAATACTTTGCAGACACAAAGTTCTGTAGCCCCAGGCTACAGTCTCTAACGGAGTTTGATACATCTGTAGCTACTCAAAAGTATAATCTGTGAGTTAGAGCCTTCCTCTCATTCACAAATAACAATCCAAGCTCTCACTACACTTACTAACTCATCTCTATTGGATTTATCATTAAATTAGTAGAGGAAGGTAAGAACCAGAAGAGTAAATTGGTCAAAAGTAAGCCACATTATACAAATTTGCAAATTATCTGTTGATTCTTTCTACGCATATAGCAGAAGATCACTTTCTAAACAGTCAAGAAATGTCTCTATCTCACAAAAGTATTTTCTGAGTATTTTTAAAAACTGAACAGGTATAAACTACATAGTATACCGTAGTAAACTAATATAATTTCATCTAAACTGTTCTGCAGCTCATAATTTATTTATATAATAGAGAAAATAACACTGTCCCTCACAATGGATGCCTAGTCCAAGTCAACAAAACTTGTGAAAAAGAAAATTAAATGTTACGAAGCTGAAAAGAAGATATTATAATGAAATGAATGCAGAAGAATATAAGATGTTTACTTGACAGTTACCCTTTACTGAAAATAGCTGTTTTTTAACTTAGCAGAGTCTTTCACAAGTTCTTTAAAATCAAATCAAATAGGCTATGGTATTAAAAACTTGATGTCAAATTAAAGGGGCATAAAACCAGCTGGTCTAGTCCTCTCTTCGCACCTCAGTACTGAGTTTCAAAGTTCATGGGTCAACGACAAAAAATGAAACAAAACACAGCAAAAAAACAAACCAAAAAGCCCAACCAAAAAAGCATTATGGGATCTATAGAAAACAATTATTTGGCATGTGTGGAAAACTGTTTTACTGCTTGTCATAACTAATTCTTGACAACCTCCTACTTAACAGATGGTGAAATTTGGTAACAGAAAGTAATTTGTAAAAAGTCTGCAAAAAATCCTGCCTCGCTCTATTAAGAAAATTAAGAATTCAGCTGGACAATTGTGAGAGTGTTGCAAGTGAGAGCCTAGGATAATGCAAATGAAATAATAGTAAAACAGCTACAGTTTGTTAACAAACTGGTTGATAGATAAGCAGTAGTATGTGAAGACCCACATATCTGCACAGATTCACTACATGTTTCTGTAGTATCTTTGAATTCAGGAAAAACAAAATGTACTTGTGTCAGTGAAGAAACTGGTCTTAATAAACAGTGTTACTTAACACACAGATGAAAGGGAAAAAATCATCACCTTGTCCATTTTCTTGAGGTTTGTTTTTCTTCCAAAATTCAATCTCTCGCTGCAGTTCCTCTAGTTAACATCAAAGAACAGTAATGTGAATTTTCAAATCAATACCAGGTATAAAATTAGAAAGAGCTATATTCCCCCCACCAACCCAAACAGTTCCCAAAACCAAATGAGAAACTTACGTTCTCGAAGTCCAGGCACCAACTTAAATATAATTTCCTCTAAGGTGTTATCCAGCCTTTCAGAGGGAAAAAATACATTTCACATTAAATGGATACTAGCATTTTAAGTCTTTTTAGTGTTTAAATAACAAAAGCTTTTGAGTAACGAGTTGCATTTTTCTAGTAAATAATGAATCCTATCCTGTCAAAGTCAACTGATTTTAGTTTGAGAGACAACATGCATTAAAGCTTATCTCAACCATATCCTAAATGGATTTATCATAGAAATAATGAAGGAATTACTTTTTTAACATATAAAGATAAGAATGAAGCAAAAGATAAAAACATTATAATCTAAAATTTTTATTTCTGAATTTGTATTACATACAAACAGCAGTGTTACTAGAAGGAACAGACTGGAAAAGTAGTATTCAATTTTAAGGTCCAGCTCATGAGTAGTAAGCATGAAAATGACAAACTCCGTTATCATACTAGGTGCTGAAGTGCTTTGGTAATAAGCCTGTTACAAAACCTGAATAGACTATTTCCTACTTACCATACCACAGCAAAGCAGTTTTGGCAGGATAGAGAAGACCACAGAGCACCCATGCTGCTCTGACTTGATAGTTCTCAGCACCCAGCACAGTTAATTTGAACTATTTAAATCTGCCATGTGTTGTACACCAGAAGAGAGTACACTGCACAGGCATGTCCTCTGGTACCCTGATATTAGTGCCAAAACTAGTTATCACAGTCCCTTCCAGTGTACACACTGCAGCTACTCATGTTGCTGAAGCTAAAATACTTTTCTTTCCTTCTCTCTGAACTTAAACAAATCTTCTATCCATTTAGTTTATCATCTGCTTTCTAGTTCTACTTCCTCTCCTGGTCTCTCATCCTTCAGTTTCCTCTGGCTTTCACTCTGTTTCCTTTTCCTTCCTCTCCTTTGCCCTTTATGTTCTCCTCAACAGAAACTCCCATTGCCCACAGCCTAAACAAAAAGTCATGACAAAATAAAATACTAAGTAATACAGAGAAATTAAGTATCTTGACATTCAGTTAGAATCTGCCATATTTTAAATTGCCTTATTTTTTCATCCCAATAACAATATATTTCTTTATATACATATTTGCAAATACATGTGTGTACATCGTATTAATTATACACTATAGGCCTGCTAAAAAAACATAGCTGTTCTGTCATTTGTTCACCAACAGTTGCAAAGCAGGAGTAAGAATGAATGTTTTTATTGTTGAGGAATGTCTACAATCAATATAAATTGATAACAATAATCTTAAAATAAATACATGAGTATTCAAGGTTCTCCTTACAGAATTTGTACTTGCAATTTACAACTAGACTCATTACCCAACCATCAAGTTCTGAAACCAGATCCCTGTGGCATCCATCAGTAGATTCAGTCATGCCATAGAAATATTCATGTTTCAGCTACAACCACAACCCATTTTTAATTGCTTTTTCTTAAGGGGACAACAACAACAAAAATTCAGCAAGAGAAACATCCCTCCCATAAAAAAGAGAGAGCACTTTCTCACAGATAAGAAGGAAATTAAAATTGTAGGATGTCTGAGTGCTGGCTTTCTGATAGATACAGAAGGTAGGTCAACCTTCCCAGGTGGTGTAACTTGTAGCCTTCTCTGTCAGTATCTGAGGGAACTACATGGTGCTGCTTTCTGTGAGGTTCCCACAGCAGAGCACTGGGAACTTGGGAACATGCCTTAGAAATGGAATTCATTTCACACTGTAAGAAAGCTCCAACCTTCATAATTTACTCATTAAAAGAAACGAAATGAAATAAGGACTTCAAAAGAGAACACTACTACCTTAATTAAAAATCCCTCTGTTCTTGAGGATGGTATAATACATGCTGGTTTTCTTTCATTTATTTTTGAAAATTCCCATTTAGCACATTCTAATTTACTTTCAATGGCTCAAAACAAAAGTCACTGGTAATGCTAAGATAGCAAAAAAAATCCAGTATACTTTGCAAATTTACAATGCCAGAAGCAAGAAGTGGCTTCCCACTCTAGTCAATACTTAATTTTTCTCCAAAAACTAAACAAAAAAAAAACCTTCTTTCTTTACAGAGGATTTACAGAGGATAAATAGTAATCAATACTCGGACAGGGAGCAAGAAAAAAAAAGTCCAATCTGATCTTTAAATGCAGGGAAACATGAAATTATTACAAGACTCTCAATTTCAGATGCATCTTTCAGTGTTCCCATAATCCACACATGTAAGCAGTCTGACATAAATATTTGTATTTTTGTGTCTCACATCAAACTCATTCCAAAATGAAACTACTTGAAAAAGGTGGTCTCAGTCGTTTACTATGATACTTCCTGTTAATGCTGAAAAAAGAACATTGATATTTCAGAGATACCTCTTTCCTTTCCCACATGTTCCAACCATGTTCCAAGTCTCCAAACCAGAACATATAGAAAAAAGAACCAAGCATTTCTGCCAGCTTAGTATAGCTCATTTTTTCAACTCTTCTATAATACTGAATGAGTTACAAGATCAACACTGTCTGATAATTACCAGCAAATGTGAACCAAACTAAGACTATTACTCAGGAAAACGTGCATGCACAGGGGTATGCCAGCAAGAGAAAAAAGAAGTGTGCCCTCATGGCATTATCAACACAGACTCTATTGAGTACTGATGATGCAGAATTCTGCTAAATTAGTAAAAGGAATTCTTAAAATTTAACACTCTTCCTACATTTTCATTTTAGAGCTCAATGTTGAATTTCAGACTTAGTCTTGTAGTTACAAGAGACCCTAAGTGCTGCCAACTAAGAGATACATCTAAAAAGCCCACATAGTTATGAAGTTACTCAGAACTGAGTGTAGAAAAAGTTTATAAAGCTTATCTGAGAGATCTTAGTTAAAACTCCTAAGTGGTGTTCAACACAATTTCTCAGAAAATGACTGCATTCTTTAGCAATGATGGGGCTGATCTCCATGGTCAGAGTGTAACTCTTGTATTAAGTTACGCAGGCAGCATCCAGGAAAGATAATTCCATTGCACGGCTCATGTGCTCTTCTGATTATTAGTTTAGCAAATGTTTAAAGCTGGTTCATAAAATACAACCAGGAAACTACTAACTATATGCAGTTTCTTGGCAAAGAGACCAAATGACTATAAAAGGAATTTCAGGAAATAATTGCAGAGAAAATAGCTCTTCCCACATTTCTGGCTTGTGCTCTCAACTTTCCTCACTCATCTATGATTTCCTGCTCAAAGGACAATATTTGTTTACTAAACAACTATTTTATGTTTCAGAAAATGCATTTTTCATCTCATATGAAGTGGTCCTATGAGAATAAAAGAAATATTTCTAAATGGTTTTGTTTTCAGCTTATTATTAGCCTACAGCATATTCTGTTATGACTCACACAGCACCTCAGAAACCAACAGGAAATCAGAAAAATAATCTACATGAACCTGCTCAGCCCCACCCTTCCAAAAATATTCAGATGACAAAGTCTTAGGCCAATAACACCCTTTACAGTTGCTGAATTGAATCTCTTTCAGTTATGCTCTTGGTACTTAATTGGGAATGGATGCGCACACATGGATCAGCAAAAATCAATGCAATATATGACAAATTGTAACAAAACCAATGACATCAGAAAATTATACCAAGCCTAGTAAATTCCAGATGGAAATTTATATTTTTACATTAATGTAAGAATAAGTCCTTCTAAGTTCAGAACAGTATTACAAAACAATAATACTGGGTGATGGGGTGGAGGTAGTGTTGGAAGTGAAGGCACAGAGAGCCTTCATCACTCCAAGAAAACATGAAGTTCTTCCAGTTAAGATGACATTTGCAAACTTTTCTATCTTATTGGATGTCTATCATCTTTGTTTCAACATAGCACCACTAAAAGTGAATCCAGAATTTAATAAAAAAAATTTTTAAAAGGTGTGTTAATACAATATTAAAAACTCAAAAAAGGGTATTTTTAATGTAAAAACTTATTTTCATGAGTGTCTTTTCATTAATCTTACAGCAGATTTCAATTCAGATTGGTGGACTTATGCCTTGAAAAACATTGCTTTTAACATGACTCATTTTCTATATGCTGCTCTAAAAATAAAAATTTGACATGAGGTTTGGAACGCCCTAAATAATTTCAAAAAACAACCCTCTGGAATTTAATTTCATGTTAAGAATAAAAGGTATCTGGTTCATTTATTTGTTTAATAGAGATATTATTTTTTTAACTTGTACAATAGAAGCACTATTTCTGTGTCTTCCCCTTATGTTTCCTCCTTTTACTATATCTGAAAAATTCAATTTAGACTGTAGTGGACACTGAGAAAATGACAACCTATATGGCTTAGAAGAGTTCATATATGCATTATAAAAATAAGCAAAACAATTATTGCCCTTTTAGGATAAAAACATTAAGATTTTTGTTGTTGTTGTTCTTGCATTTCAGCAAATGCTGTGAAATAGATTCTTACCTTAACATTTCTAGTGGATTAGTCTCATGCACTTGGTTGCCACACCTGGGACAGTCATTGCTGTCTTCAAAGTGTTGAACAATACAAGTCTTACAAACTAAGACAGAGAAGGAGAAAATAAAAAGAAAAAACCCACTTAAAAAAAATCCAAATAATATTGCTCGAATATGACCTAATGATACGTGGTAGCTACCTCATACATCAGAAATAAAAGAGTATTGTTGTAAAGTAAATAATTACAATGTATCTTATCTCTTTCTTGTTCCCCAAAACCATCCTTAGTTCTGCTCCACTGGGACACCAAGCTCAGCAGCACAGCTGGACAAGCACTTTAAATTATGAGATATTTCTGCTACTTAGAATTCTCCCAGCATCACAACACATGAAGCCCACCACCTTAAAGAGCAGGTTAAAGAACACCTTAAAGCCTGTCCCACCTGTAAGGGCAGGTTCTCAGGTGGGTGCTGGGGAACTTCCAGCATCACCTCAGCTGATCTGAAATAACTTACATCAGTTCAATGGTGTTGTTTGCAGCTGAAAATACTGGTTTAAATACTTAATGTAAGAAAAAAGATCACAGAAATTATACACAGGTTCAAAGTGTTTCCTTTTTGACACGGTGCTTTCCGAAGCAATGACAGAATGTACACTCGACATTTAATATTTGACCCTCATAATGAAAAATCAGGATCAGGACCATGGCAAGTATCAATAAACCCAAACCAACAACAATGTGAATTTAAAAACCAATCAACTGAAAGTAAACAAAACAAGGTGCTACACTACTGTTGCTTCCAAATGATCAATTACAGACTGTAGATTTTAATGTCATTAATTATGGAAGCCAAGCTGATTAGAACAAATATGCCTGCTAATATTACTGCACAACAATGTTCTGGATGGAGATAAACTCCACCCTCTTCTTATTATTAATTCACCTACACTGAAATAAGAACTGCAAATTCATCAGTAAATGGACTGAAAAAATAAATGGACTGCTGTGACTGCAATATGCTTTCTGCTGAAACACTGTAAATTTTTTCATCAATTACTTAAAGAAGTATGAACATCTCTAAACAAGTTGGTAAATCCTAATTATAGGACTCTAGGAATCTTGAACTTCCTTTAACAAACAAAGCCTATATTTGTCTTTGCCTTAGAATGCTCAGAAGGGTTATATCAAATCAGCTGATGCTGATAACGCACACATATTAAACCTTCATGTAGGTGTTTCTTCCAACTGCTTTAAATCACTAACTTAAAGACATTAACTTTACAGCCCAAGATTGTCAAGGAATTGTAAAAGAACTCTTCTGTCAGTTCAAGCATTTCAGCTGCAGCACCTGATAGCTCCTAATCCCAGTGTCTATATCTACCTGAATTCACGGCTTCTGTCAGGAGAAGGTGCATGGGTTAGTGGTGGGTGAGGACAATACCAATGAACCACCAGGTTAAGAGTCACAGGCTGTCTCAGAAGTGCCATTAGTTGGAAGCCTCAGTTCAAAGAGTGTGGGGGAGAAAAGCACTGAGGAGCAAGAATGATGATGAAATCATGGAGTCTAGCAGATGTAAATTACTGCCATCTGGAAATTCACGTAAAAGTCATTGAGGTAAGTAACAGAAGAGTTTGGTTTACTCTAGAGCTCTTCTAACTTGACTTCATACAAGCTGAGCTTAAAGATAACTCTTTTTCAATGGAGTTTCATCTGCTAACTCCTGTAACAAAGGAAGGAGTTAGTCTTTATGTTTTTGGTAAGCCTTCTGTCTGATATAAACAGCAGCATCTCTATGGAATCTTTCTAGCCTGAGTTAAAATGATCAAGAATAAACAAAGTGGGAAAATTTGTACAACTGTTCAATATTAATTTCATAATTGATAAACACAACCCCATACCTTCTCTTGTTTGGAACATGTCCAGGCTGGATGAGGCTCTGAGCAACTTGAACTAGTGGAGGGTCTCCTTGCCCATGAGAGGAGGGTCAGAACTAATTAAGGGTCTGTTCCAGCCCAAACAATTCTATGAATTTTGTTTTTGCAACAGACTCAGAGAATTAGCACAAAAATTCTTCAAAAGGAGAATGGGCTTTGTTTCAATAGCAGAGTGATTTGGTTTCTTTTCTGTAAGCAATAGAATTAGCCTCCTTCTGAAAGGATTTCCTTGCATTCTAGAAAAACTTTCTGAAATTCTTAAGAGAATTTAATTCCCTTCACTTGTTCCCAGGATTTCTGCTCCACTCATGTCAGAGAAGTTCTTGAAGTCTGTGATGAGATGACACTGTTCTTACTGCATTGAGTTGTCTTGTAAAGATATTTTACATTTGAGCTTCCTAGGGTTTTTGTTTGTTTTCCAAACTAAAGACAAATAGGGCCTATCTGAGCTATAGCTTTCATTTACATCCAGAAGAAATCTGAAATTATCCCTATTCAGAAGAATTCCATGCCATGGGATCAATAACTAATACACTTATTTAAATCAGATAATTGACTCCATAAAATCTCCCAAACATCAAACACTGCTAAATATAAAGCATGCTAATATCAACAATAATGTAAATGGAATAAAATTTTATAATAGAAACTTTTATAATAGAAAATTTTATAATGGAAAGGAACTAAATTCCTCAGTCTGAACACATTTTTGTGCTCTCTTTATACCTTTTGTTTCTCAGAGGAGACAACACTGTTGGAAGGCATGCATGGTCCAAGAAAGGACCTAATAATTAATGAAGAGCTTCATTTCCAGTGTAGGAAAGGTCTTTGAGTAGAACATAACATATGATGAGAAGACATCATAAGGAACCTTATTCCAGTCCTATATGGATGTTTCTCTAAGCCAACAAACACACAGACCTGGATCATGTGTTTGTACAACCAGCTCAATACCATAAAAACCCCCTTGAAACTGTAAATCAATACTGAAGTAATCCAACAAACTTTTGCTTTTTCTTGTGTAGAGTTATGGTGCTATGAGGATTGGCTGACCACAACTAAATGTGATTTACCAACAAGAATATAAGGGTAAAAAATACATACAAATTCTAGCACGGAAGAATAACAAACTGATACATGATACTCCTAGTGGGATCATCAACCAAATATTTTCCTATATGATAGGTATAATCATCCTCTGTTACTCTCAATGTAAAACACAGAACATTTTTCAAAGCCTATCTCTTTGCAGTTTCAGAAAACAGGATGAAATCTAAACATTGGGTGAAAAAGGTAGGCAAAAAGGGAATCCTTAAACACAATTAAATTACAAATATCATTAATTCACCACCTTAGGGAAAAAACCAAACTCCAAATCAAAACCCTTCAATGCTTCCAGTACAGATTAACAAAATAACATGGTTTCATTAGCTTTGCTGTAGGTCATGGTAGGGCAGCAAACAGGCAAAAGAAAACTGCTTAACCTAAATGTACAGTCTGCAGAATTTTGAGGTATATGCTACACATGCCAGTGAAATAAGAACTTGAATTTCATTGTCGTTCAATGACATTTCAGATGAGACACAATAAAAGTTAAACTCATGTAAGATGACTTTCTATGGCTGATAAAAGTACTTGTGTGACATATGCTAATTGGCTGGCTGCATAACAATGCTGTTTTCCAGTACACAGATATCTGGTTCACACATTCTTTCAGATCTTCATAATCAGATGAAAAACATAGATACAAGTGCCAAGACTGTGCTGTATGTCACAAACAAACAAAAAAGGGACATCTCTTATGAATATCTACATACATATGCATCCATCCAGGTTACTGTTTAAATGTTGATTAATGAGGGACCTAAATAAAACTTCATATTGCATTTTTAAAATAAAGTATTCTACAAAATAACGTTTAATTAGTTAATTGTGGTACAAATTCTTTGTCAGAACTCATCCTTTGAATTCTTCCAAAGATTTCCACTCTCAAAGTTAATCACTCTGATTCAGCGAGCAAAGGAAGGGCACAGGATATGCACAGCTAGTGGAACATCAAACCCATCTCACTGATGGCACAGAGGTGCAACAAGGCATTTGGTATATTTACTGAAGTATTTAATAATCTACCTTAAGCCTGCTTTAAAAACACTTACTTTTAGGGAAAGTGTTTGCTTAAAAACAGGACAGAAAACTTCACTTAACCATTCTTTTCAGAAACTATACAAGTGGGACTACTCCTTTCTTAATTACTTCTACCAGACACTGTCACACTAGATTTTCTTTTGTTAAAAGGGAGAGAGAATTTCAGCATGTGATAACCAAGAAAGACTTTTTGTGTTGAAAACTATTTAAAAATAACATTTAGGCCCTGCTACATGGCACTGACTAAAGTTTTTGCAGGAGAAGGAGTCTGAAGGCAGCTCAGCTTGCTTGTCTGAGGGTGAGAAATTTTGCTGCAGAGGAGTTTTTTTGGGATCTTGTGTTGACAGCATAGGTTTTTAGCAAAATCTGAAAACCACTCTGGTTGAAAGATTATTTGATATTGAAAATTATTTCTCTGGTAAACGTCCTGCAGGGAAGGATATTTCTGAAAGTTCCTAGTCTGCCTTGGTTGGCAACTTCTTAACACAAATATTAGAGACCATCTAGGAGTAATGCACCTTTTGATCTCCTGTTCACAAACAGGGCAAAGTTGGTGATGAATACAGCCACAGAGAGCAGCTTGCCTTGAGGTGAGCTGAGGATCTTGAGAAAGGGTACACACTTAAACAGCACAGTTAGGACTCTGAACTTCAGGAGACAGGACTTCAGCTTGTTTAAGCAACTGCTCATCAGATTTCCCAAGGAGACTATCCTTGGAAAGAGACTTAAGAGAGCTGGCTGAGCTATACAGCCCACTGTATAGGGAATTATGTCAGAAGAACTGCTTAGTGCACAAGAATTGCTTAGTGCACATGGTTCCTAATTAACATGCAAAAGTAGATCATATTAGAAGTGGAAACAAGAATGGGAAACAAAAGGATATAAAATCACTACTCTGGCACTTAAAGACAAAGGTAGGAAAGCCAAGGCCCAGCCATAGCTAAAACTGATGAGAGACATAAGGGAATTGTGTAAGTATGCTAGTAGCTGAAGGAAGCTTAGACAAATTATACCTGTTAATGAATGAGGGAAACAACTCAGGATTAGCTTATACAGAGAGGTTTGAAGTCCTCAGTATCTTTTTGCCTTGGTCTTCATAGGCAGTGCTTGATCCTCCCTGCATACTAACTTGATTTGGGAAGGAGAGGGATGATCAACAGCCAAGGAGCAGCAGGTTAAAGCCTACTGAGAAAGACTGGATGTACTTAAATCTACAGCCCAGGTAGGATTCACTAAGATGAAATCTTATCACCATAATCAGAGTGATTATGAGAGGTACCTGATGACTAGAAAAGAGTGGTGTGTTATGGCCACTTGTAATAAAGAGAGGAAGGATGGCCCAGGGAAGTACAGCTAAACAGCCTCCTCTATCTCACTGGGAAGATGGCAGATTACATCATGTCCCTTGGAGTCAATTTCCAGCTATGTGAGGGACAAAAATGTAATCAGGAAGTGGAAACAGCAATTTGCCAAAAGCAAATAATGCTATAGGCTGGCAGGTGATGTAATAATAGCTTTTACCATTTGATCAGCAGTTACAGGAGTGACAGAGCCCATCTTCTGGGGAGTGGCAAACAGTATCACAGGAGCAATGGCCACATGTTGACATTTGGCAGGACATTCAGAAAAACTAGATAAAGACTGTAGCACTGGAAATGGTTATTAAGAGAAGCTGTGAGACGACTCCATGCTTAGAAATTCAAGTGTCAACTACACAGAGACGTGGCTTGACCTGGTAGAGTGCTGGCAACTAACCTGCCTCCTGGATGAAGTTAGCCTAGACAACCTCCAGATGTCTGTTGATGTTTTCAACCAACATTTCTACAATTGTGTAAACAGTCTGTTATTTTTTAAGATACTAAAGAATGTTCTTGAGGAAAGTTTATTTTGTAAATTTTGTAAGTGCACACTGTACTAAACAATGGAGTGACTCAGGAGACAGATGATGGGACATGCCCTTTAGCTCACAACCAGACTGCTTCCATCAGTGGTTCTTAAAACATCCTTGACAACTGTGTAACAGACTAGAAAAAAAGATTTCAGTCCATAAGATAAAACCATTCTGTTGAAAGCAGCAAAAAATAATTGAAGTACTGAATTTGCAGAATAAGTAATTCTGCACTAGCACAACTGTTTCCTTTCCAATAGAGATAGGAAAGTTTGCAGTTCTGGTACCCAAGTTGCACTTAGGTATTATTCACCCAGTGAATAGTGGAGTTTTCTGCCCAACATTTTCAGAAGCCCCAGCAGAAACATCTCTTTTTGAAAAGACACTAATTTCTCAGAGCAGGACTTAATATTTTCCAGAAATACAGAATATGCAAATCAACTGCTAATTCCCTGCAGTGGTTACTACTGATCACATTAGTTCCCCTATGATCACTGGAGAACATCTATGCCAATACATGCTTTTCATCTTGTCCAAAGTCATACATTGCACTCCCAGTATCTAATGAATTTACACTGCTTCTTCAACCATTAATACCTGCAGATTTTGATAATTTGTACAACACTGCTTTCAGTCATGGCAATTAGTGACAGTTAAAATCATTGTATACTGTGTATCTATTTGGACAATACTGAAGAATCATACCTGTATTTGAAAAAAAAATTAAAAATATTAAATATTTTCTACAAGATAACTTAGCAGAGTACCTCCCTAAATTCTTCCATCACCTTCTCCTTTGCAGACATAAGATTTGCATATCACTACTGTTTTCAAGTTTAAAATTTTCCTTTCCATCACTGTAATCTTTGTATCTTGGTAACTGAAACTAGACTTTGCTTTAAAGAAACACCACCATCTTTCCTGCATTTCTACTTAAGGACCCAAATATGTGGCAGTTCTTTGGTGAGAAGACCTGTGTAACTATATGGCAGCTCAGTAAAATTCAAGTGCTCTGACCTGGGAACTAGGCAGTGACAAAGCTGGCTCAGTGAAGAGCTCACAAACTACAAAAGAACAAAAGAAGCAGATGCTGCTGAGAAGAGAATGCTCCTTATGCCATTATTGTTTTGTAATAGGACCAAAAGTAAAAAAAAAAAAAAAATTATGTAAACAAAAAGATACCACAATAAAAACATTTTTTTCTTAAATCTGATTTCCGATGTAACTATTTTCCCCTAACCCCAACTTTTAAAAGTCGTCAATGTTCATTAAACTTCAACCATAAAAAAATAGCTAATACTGGAATTTTCCCAGTTTCTTTAAAGAGAGAGAGAATTTAATAATATATTTATCTGTCTCTAATAAATTTACCTCTTTTAAGTACCTCAGTCTTTTCCTGATTCTTTGTCACTATTCTCCCCCTCTATCCAATAAAGGATGAAAATCTTCCTTAGCACTCCTTTTCTTGATAATGTATTTATATAAACATTTTAATTGTCTATTAAGGCAGTAGCCAGATTAAGTTCTGGTTGGGCTTTGGTCCTTTTAATTCTCTTTCTTCATAACTTCACGGTGTCCCTGCAGTCCTTCTGGGTTGACTGCCCTTTCTTCCAAACTCAGAAACTCTACTTTTCTTACTAACATCCAGAGAGGCTTTCTGTACAGCCAGGCCGGTCACCTTCCCTGCCAGCTCCTCTTTCTGCACATGGGGACAACCTGCTCCTGGTGCCTTTAGGATTTCCTCCTCAAAGCACATACAGCCTTCCTGGACACTTCTGCCCTTCAGGACTGCCTCCCAAGGGACCCCATCAACCAGGCTACAAAATCTGCCCTCCAGAAGTTCAGGGAAGTGGTTCTACTAAATGCCCTCCCTCCTTTTCCAAGAATTGAAAACTATCTTTTTGTGATTGCTGTGCCCAAAGACATCCTCCAACTTTCACAGCACCCACCAGTCCCTGTCTGTTCACAAACAGCAGGTCCAGCAGGGCCTCCTCACCAACTATGTCAAGAAGTTATCCTCCACCCACTCCAGGAACCTCCTAGACTGTCTTCTCTCTGCTATTTCCAGTAGGCATCTGTTAAACTGAACAAGTGCTAGTGACTGTGAGACTTCCCTCAGCTGCTTCTCAAATGTTTCATCTACCTCTTCATTCTGGTTAGGTGATTCCTAACAGACTCCACCATGGTACCTGCCTCGTTGGCCATTCCCCCAGTTCTTACCCACAAACATTCAACTCCATCATCACCATCACTGAATTCTAGACACTCAAAACACTCCCTAACACACTCCCTGGTGCTACCCTACCAGGTCTCCTTCCTTGCCTATCCCTTCTGGAGAGTTTTATAGCCATCCACTGCATCCTTCCAATTGTGTGAGTTTTCCTGCCATGTTTCTGTGATGGCCACCGTGCTGTAATTTTCCTGCTGCACAGTGGCTTCCATTGTTTCAATTCTCTGTGTGTTTCATGTGGTAGGGATGCAACACCAAATTGTAAAAATTAACAGTGAAGACATTAACAACTGCAAGAACAACACTGCATAGCAACTACAGGAAATGCCAAGACAAGGCTTTTAACTGATATTTATTAAAGGTTTAAAAATGGGAAATCTACCAAAAGACATACGCTTCCTCTTACTCTTCTTTTAGAAGACTTCAAATGTTATTTGGAAAGATGTCAAATTCTAAAGGAGGTCCGGTGAAACTACTGGCTATTCAGAAAAAAATATAAAAAAGCCAAGCATGTAAATAAGCTTGTGAAAGTAAGATGAGAGAGTTTGACAGGACCCTTCATATGTTTAATATAATTCATACATGACAATGTATGATGATGTAATAGGAGCAGAAGACAACCTAACCAACTTTTCCTGAGACAGTTTCATTGAAAGAGATCTATTTCCTAAGTAAATATTTTGCCACTTTCAAGTACTTCTCTGCATTGTGCTATGGGACACATTAGAGAGATGCGACTGTATCCATCACACATACTGCCAACAGATACATCAGTTTAAGCTTCAAGCATGGTTTTATCATCAAAAGAGCGCACCTGACCTAATGACCTCACCTGAGACAGACAGGCCACAGGCAAACAAAAGGGTCTCTGTACTCTGCCAAGTCCAGCAGAGCTGACATATCCTCACAGTATGGGTCAGGTTGGAAGGGAGCCTACTGGGTCATCTGGTCCAACCTCTCTGCTGAAGCAGGGTCATCCCAGAGCACATGGCACAGAATTGCATCCACACTGCTCTTGAATATCTCCAATGAGGGGGCCTCCACACCCTCTCTGGGCAATCTGTTCCAGTGCTTGGCCACTGTATAGTAAAGAAGTTCTTCCTCATGTTCAGGTGGAACTTCCTGTGCATCACTTTATGCCCATTGCCTCTTGTTCTACTGTTGGTACTAATAAGCAGAGCCTGGCTCCATCCTCTTGACATCCATACTAGATATTAACACACCTTAACGAGGTCCCCTCTCAGCCACCTCTTCCTGAGCCTGAACAGGCCCAGCCCCCTCAGCCTTTCCTTGGAAGAGAGGTACTCCAGATCCTTGATTAAGTCAAGTTACTACTCTGCTGGATCTGCTCCAGGAGCTCCATATCTCTCTTGTACTGTGGAGCACAGAACTGCACACAGTTCAAGATAATCCAGACTGCAGACCAGTGTTTAGGAAACTTCAGAAGAGACTGGATTAATTCAAAATATTTAATATAAAAATTCAGTAAACAAAAACAAGTAGAGTGGCCATATTAAACACATTAACACTTAAAAAAAAGAAATAAAAAAACTTATGAAGGAGGGACTATTTTGCAAAGTATTACTTACAAGTATGGAGGCACTCCGTTACTGTAGTTGGCTTGATGAGATAGCCTTTACAGATATAGCAGGTGATATGAGGATTGAAATCTTTCACCAAGTGCTTCCTCTGAGTAGCCATTCGTGGAGCAGGAAACGCTGGCAGAGTGCTTGGGGCCAGAGAAGCAAGTCTGAGAGGCGCCGATGTCCACAGTTCACGAGAGCTGCGGCGCTGCTCTGGGCAGCTGGACTTCTCCAGGCATTTGATCCTAATTCCGCAGGTCTCACTGAGACACGGCTCGTAACTCCTGCTCCTGTGCCGGGCGAGTCATTTTCCTACCTGTAACACACGTGGAAAACGACAGCTCTGGGAACCTGGCCGGCCAGCGGCGATGCCCCGGAGGGCCAACGTCGCCATGAACTTGGCAACGTTCGGGGCTGTAATTTACATAACAGCAGCCGCCGTGCGCCGGCAGCCGCGCTCCGAGGCCGTGCCCCCGCCCCGCCGGGCTCCGGCCGCCGCCGGGACGGGCCGGGGCCCGCGGTGACAGGTGCAGGGGCCGCGGCCACAGCCCGCCCGGCACGGCACAGCCCGCCCCGCTCCGCCCCGCCGGGCCGGGCCCGCAGGCCGCGCCGGGCCCGCGGGGAGCAGCCCCCCCGCCGCCCCGGCCCCGCGGGACCGCGGCCGGAGAGGGCGGCGGCCGCCCGGCTCTGTCCCCGCTCGCCCGACTCCCGTCCCTCCCCTCCCGCACCTGCGGCGCCTCCCGCCCCCGCCGCGGCCCCGGCCGTACCTGGCGCAGCCCCGCGGCCTCGGGCGGGCGCCCGGCGAAAGAGAAAGGGAAACGCCGCGCGCCTCCCCCGCTCGGAGCGCTCCCTCCTCCCCGCCGGGCTGCCGCGGCCGGTCCCGGGGCGGGCGGGACGGGCGCGCAGGCGCTGCTCCCGGCCGAGCCCGCTGCGCCACAGCCCGCAGCGCCGCTCGGGGCGGCGGCGGCCGGAGCAGCGCGGGCTGCCCGCGCACGGCGGCCGGACGGCAGCGGGGCTCCGGGCGGCGCTGCCCGCCCCAGGTGAGCGCGGCGGCGGCGCCCTCCGCTCGGCACACACCCGCCGGGGCACCGGCGCCGTTTCTTGAAAATAACTTCAGCTTCTGCCCGTGGAAGGGTGGAAGTTAAACCCATTTCTCTAGCCCGCAAACGCAAACACTAAACACTGTATTAAGTTAGCCCGAATCCCGTGAAAATACGTGTGCTTTCCTCGAACCGGGACCAACTAGCCAACGGCTTAGCACGAGTAAAAGCTGTCCCCGTGGTTCAGTGCATCTGCTTTTGCCCTTCCTAGTCACAGAAATCCATCATATTACCAGGTAATTGCCCATAAAACTAATGCTGCCTTAATTTTCCAATTGTGCTGTTTCTAGAAAATTTCTTTAATACTGCATTTAACAGTAATGACATAAACATAAGGAGACATTTCCTATATCAGCTGCAATGCCACCACATTACCCGCAACTGCTTTAGGTCTTTGCTCTTCTGTTCTGCATTTTGAGATAAATGCTCATTTTGCAGTGGCCCCCCAGTGCACTCTTCCCTTTCATCCTTGTGTAAGTGCTGCAACAGCTGAAGGCTTTAATAACTTTGGCCTGTTTCTGCCATCCAGTCCTACTGCTGTAATATTTACCAGGCAATAGATCTCCATTAACATCATGTCAATGGCTAGTCTGAATCACGCGCATCAAAAACTGTTACAATTAAAGTTGCAGTGCAATGATGAATGCATGATAACCCAGACAGAGCAATTCAACAGAATCTGGATGATTTTTCCCGATAAAATGTTCATCTTGTATGAGGTTATTTCTCCACAACATGAACAAAAGTTTATATAGCTAAAAATCTTTTGAAGCAGCACAGAATCATAGAGTATTCTGAGCGGGAAGGAATCCACAAGGATCATTGAAGTCCAGCTCCCTTCCTGCACAGGAACATCCCTGAGTCACACCATGTGCCAGGAAGCATTGTCTAACTGCTTAACCAGCTCAGGCTTGGTGCTGTGACCTCTTCCCTGGGGACCCTGTTGCAGTGCCCAACCACCCTCTTGGGTGAAGAACCTTTTCCTAAACCTCCCCTGACTCGGCTTCAGGCCATTTCCTCGGGTCCTGTCACTGCCACCACAAAGAGATCAGTGTCTGCTCCCCTGCTCCCCTCAAGAGGAAGCTGCAGACTCTATGAAGTCTCCCCTTGAGCCACCTGTTCCTCACAAGGCTTCCCCTCTAGGCCTCCCACCATCTTCAGAGCCCTCCTTGGGCACTCACTAACAGCTTTAGATCCTTCTTACTTTGAGGGGGCCCAAAGTGCCCCAGCACTCAGGGTGAGGCTGCACCAGAGCAGAGGAGAAGGGGTCAGCCCCCTGCCCAGACTGGCAGGGGATGCTGTGCCCGATGCACCTCAGGATTCAGTATAGCTTAACAGAGTTGTGTTTTGATGGTTTAAACCTTCTATTGTTACCTGTTATTTGCAGATTTATACCACAAAACACACACTGACAAGTCACAGGCTAAACACTAAATAGAGAAAGAGACAACAAAAACTATATACATATCATGGGAATATTTTCATTAGTCACATTCAGTTGGTTTAGTAGAATTTGACGTATTTCAGAATGTGCATAAGAGTGGCCCTGCTCAAATGTAGTTTGATACAGCATTATTAAACTTATATACATACATTTAAAACAGGCAGCTGCTGATGCTCTCCTGGCTGTTTCCAAACCACTGCATCTGATAAGACTTTTTTTTAAAGTAAATTATATTCTAAGTGGGATTTCATAGCATAGTTTATCAAGTGTCCCATTTGAGAAAATAAAGAACCCAAAATTTTCTAAATGAATTAATTCAGCTGGACTCATGTTTACACGGTAATGGATGCACAGTATTCTCTTCAAGCACATTAAAAACTCAGTTATGTCATTCATTACACTGTGTAGGCCATGCAGTAACGCTCACACAGCAGTTGGGATACTTGCAGACTACACAAGTGGTATTGATCCCCATAAGTCAGGCTGAAGTCCCTCTTTTAAGGACAAGCAGTCCCATGCCAGGCAAGTGATAGCATACATGACAAATTCTTGCCTCATCTCTCCACAGTGCAGGAACACAGTCCTGCTGGTACCAAGGTGATGCTGACTGAAGGTGATGAAAGCTGAGGCTTTTAGCACCTTTCCAGACCACAACATAAAGAGCAAATGAGAAGCAGCACAGAAGAAGCTCTCATTTCATTATTAGAGGAAAGTAGATCCTTAAGTACTTATGCTTTATATGATCAGGAAGCATATTATGTTAATAAATGCCTATGAATTAATTATAAATTCAAAGACAGTTAACTCCTAGCACTGCATGCAACAGGTTTATTTAAACATACAGGTCCAGATATGTGATGTGAGCATTTTGATCTACTTATAGCAGTTCAAAGGTAACAAGAATAGTGTTTGAATCAAACAAGGCATTCATTTCATATTATGAAAGAAACAGAATTAAGAAATGAAAGAGAATTAAGAAATGAACATCAGAGTAGATAAGTGCCATTAGTGACAGGAAACATGGTGTCCTGGTTCTCTTGCAAATATTTCCTCAGCTCATCTGGGTTCTGAATTTGTTCACAGAGGAAGTCCCAGGCTACTGGGTCAGAAAATTCCTTCTGGGTCTGGCCCATTTTCTCCCATTCCCCACAGCACTCAGGATTTTCCATGCCTGGGTCAGATGCCTCCTCAACCCCTCTGGACATGTCAGCCCTCACTCTAGACAAGATGCAGACCATATAGAGGAAGCTTACCAGATAAAATGCCAGGAAAGTGGTCTCTTTAACATTCAGGGGAAACGAAATATTCTCAAAGGGTGACATAACAGATTTAAAGAAGAAGGAGAGGAAGGGCTGGGAAACCCCATCTCCTACTCCTCCTCTAACAAACTGGGTGCAGTTACCAATAAATCCCCAAAACAGGCTACAGAAGCTAAGACGAATAAACAACAGACCATACACATTTTGAACAAACCCCAGTACCTTTGTTAACCCTCTATAAATCATAATCATCATACCCAGCAAAACAGCAATCCTAATCAGTGGCCTTCTTCTGTAAAAGCTACATGTTAGGGACAGTACTGGAGCTATCTGTGGGTAAGAAAACAAGCCTAAGTCTAGGGACCAGAAAGACATCAGTGCCTCAAGTCAGAGAGATGTTATAAATTCAGGCAGCATGGCTACTGACTGCTTTATCCCAATACAGGGTAAGTAAAACCAAAATTAGAAATTTTTTTCTACTTCCTCAAGCCCCACATTGGGTACCAAAATATTTGTTCTGGTTTGAGACAAATTTGGGAGAAAACACCCAAAAGGTGTCTCCTCTGAAAAGGCAGATTCCAGCAGCCCTTCCCCCAACCAGTTCAGGAGAAAATCTCCTTGAAGAAAATGGAAAAAAGCTGTTTCTTTAACAAGCAAAGTATTCACAAGCCTGGAAAAATGGATAATATTAAACAATAAAACTTCTCACTATTCTGAAGAGATGGCAAGTTCAGAGAGTCCTTCTGTGGTTCAGAGGGTTCTCTGTGGGTTTGGCTTGGCTCTCACTCAGTCTCTCCAGGGCTCAGGCCTGTCCAGGCTGCAGTGCTACTTGTGGGGGGGGCCTGAGCAATTGTCCTGGTGTTCCAGACCAGGGAAAAGCTGAGCAGTTCCAAAAAAAAGACCCTGTCCCAGGAAAAACTTTCTTGACTCAGGTCACAGATGAGAAACCAGGTTAAAAAGCAAAGAAAAGCTCCCTCCCTCTATCTGTGCTGCAGACAGCACACCAAGTGAAAGGAATCTGGGGAGGAAGTGAAGCTTCTGCAGACAAAACTGCACACCACTGCTTCTCCCTCCCTTGGCTCTTGGATCTAGTGTTAAGGCACAGAACTCAACATCCAGCACCAGCAGATGGTGGGGGATACAATACAGTATCATAAAGTCACCCTAGGACACATGGTATGACAGAGCTGGTGACTACAGCCCTCAAATGAGGGGTGAAAATACAGCTGCTCTCATTTTTCTGTGTTTCTTCAACTTGTGACTCTCTCATCAACTGACTTTCACTCCGAAGTCCTCAGTGTTCTCTAACACAGTGCTTACTTTTTTTAAAAAGCCAAGTCCTTTTTCACATATATGACTTTCCTAACACATAGAAATACTGCTTTCTAAGCATTACCATCCTTGAAATCCCTGAATAACTACTATATCATCCTGATGTGAAACAGAGTAATTACTTACATTTAATATCAATAAAATGTATCTTTTGAAAGGAACAGCCAGGACACACAATAAC